AGCCTGTACTTGGGCTTGGGATTGCACTTGTGCTTGGATTTGGTGAGCCAAAAGCCAGAGCCTTATGCTATTGCTCTTTTTTAACCTTTTTTTTTTGGCCTTTGCCCATCTCTTGGCACTGGGGAAGGGATGACTCCTACAGCCGGGGCCAGACCAGGCTGCTGTGGCATGGCTGTGGCTTGCAGGGCTGGCTCCCACTGCAGCCTGCATTTCTTCCTGGATGGCGAGGCTGGGGAGGGAAACCCAGCAGACCTTGCAGGGGGGCTGGCTGGGTCTGGGGGAGCCGGAAGCGTCTCTTTGTGGGGTCCCTTCTGCTAGGAGGGGGAGCTTGCTGCCCCAGCCCCCTGTTTATCCAGCACCGCAGGCTGGCTACAAAAAGACTACCTGTAAAAATTAGTTTTGGCACAAGCATCCATGAGAGACTCTGCCAAGGAAAAATATTGCCGACAGGCTCTAGGAAAACAGCGTTACTCATCTCGTGGGGAATAATGCAGCCAGGCTGAGTAACCCGCACAGATTTATTCGGCACAGCCTTATCGCTGACCGTCAGCGGGGTGCCTGCGGGAAGACGGTGCTTTTCCTCGCTGTTACCCAGTACCGCCCAGCTCGCCTCGCCTCGGGGCGGCCTTGAGAGGCCCCGCTCCCCGCCAAGCGATGCACCTACCCAGGCGGGTCTAGAAAGCGAGCCTGGGTTGTGGGTCACGGCTCGTGGGGTGCAGGCAGGGTCTGAAGGCCATTCAGGCAGAATAGAGAGCAGCCCTGGCCAAAGAAGGTCCCGTGCCTGGCCCCGGGGCGGAGGGGGGTTTCGCTGGGCTCCCCACAGCTGCAGGGAGTCTAACACTGAGGAAAACACCCAATAAAGAGGAGAAGCGTAGGCTGAAATAAGGGATTACTTCCCCGGATCTGACAGCCAGTTAAGCGTGCCAATGTTGAGCACCCCGATTAAAAGCAGCAGGTTTCTCACCAGCTTCACTCTGATGGTACAAGGTGAAAACGGTGAAGGCCAGGAGCAGAACTTGCTACAGGGAATACCTATCACCTCCTTTTTCCCGATTCCTCCCAATTTTCTTATTTTTAGGATACCAAACAGTAACTTTGCAAGTACAACAGCTATGATGCCTTGCAATGTCTGTGTCCCTGCTAACCAAAATGTTTCTGGAGGGAGGTGGAATGGAAGGATCAGAGCAGAAACCGCTAGGAAGTAGCAGCTTGCAAGAAGGAAACTCTATAATTTCCACAAACCCTGGATGCATTTTAGCTGGGCTCTCGCTCTAGCTGGCACCTTTGAGCTGTGCCACGTGTGTGGACGGTGCTGTCCCAGTCCCCGCGCATGCGGCAGCCAAACGTGGCAGAGGAGCTGAAGGAAGAACAGGAGCTATGGGATTGGTACCCAGAAGCCAGGACCGGGAGTCAAATGGGCTGGGAGGGCTTTGAGGTCCCAAGCTGGCTTTTCCCAGTGTCCCCTCGCATTCTTTTCACTTGAAATATACCAGGGGGTGGAAAGACGATGGGATTGCAGGCCGTGGTGCTATAAAGAAGACAACACTCAGCTGTCAGAAAGCAGTCTGCACACTGCTGTTCCAGATTAATAAGGTTAACTGCTGCCCTGAGCCGCTTCTCAGCCTGGAGAAGCAGCTAGTGCTTAGGTGAAGGGTGACTACGTTGCTTCTTCGTACTTGGTGAGGAGGTCTGTGCAGCCCCCTTACAACTTGTAGAGCAGCCCCATACACAGGAGGTTAAATGGCTAAACCATCCCTTAGAGCTCCCCCAACAGCCTGACTGCAGGTTCTAGGACCCTGTCCATTACAGTTCCCTCACAGGTTGCATCCAGCTGCTCTAAATCACACACAGTTTTAATCTGCAACTTAGAAAGCCAAGCACAAGGCAGAAAGTGCTAAAAGCCAAGGGGTGGGGGAGGGTGGCAGAGGATAGAATCACAGAAGGGTTTGGGTTGGAAGGGCCCTCACAGACCATCCAGTTCCAACCCCCCTGCCATGGGCAGGGACACCTTCCACTAGACCAGGTTGCTCAAAGCCTCATCCAGCCTGGCCTTGAACACTTCCAGGGGTGGGGCATCCACGGCTTCTCCGGGCAAGGATAATATCACGTGGGCTAACGAGCAAGTTGCCGCAATTTCACTGCTCACCCTCCTGGGACAGCAGCAAGACAACCCTGCCTTGGTGTCTCCCACACAACTGCCTTGGAGAGGCTGCACAAGCAACATCCACGTTGACGGTGCCTCTGAAAACATAATTTCTCACACCGTTTTGTCCCTCGCATTATTTATCTTTTCTCAAAGGACCGGTACATTCGGAACCCAGCTCCACCACCCTGTTCATCACCTGGATTTATCGCCAGCCACTCGGTCCACCGGAGAAAGCGCTTGCGGTAACTCTTGCCGGAGAGCGCTGCCCTAAGTCTCCGTGAGGAGTACAGCACTTCCCTTTTCATGGGCAGGGGGAGCTCAGCCATGCATGCGGCAGGTACAACAGCAGCAGGCGGGGTGGGCTTGCTGCTCTAATTACTTGCACATTTCACATGAAGCTGTAATTTGTGGCGTAGCCAGACTACGTACACTCAACTTCTCAGCAGTGTTTTGCTCTCCCTGCAGAGCCTTCTGCTCCCCCGACGAGAGCTGGAAGCACCAGCTTGAGAGGCCACGCTCTGGGGGCAGATGGGGCCAATGGGAACTGGATCACGGAACAAAACCCACTTCTGGCCTCAGCTCCAGGATAAGCTACTTCAGGAGTAGTAGCAGCAAAGGGTGATTTTGGCCATCAGACCTTCACTTCACCAGCCCTTCTGCCTCTAGGTTTGTGCTTCTCTTCTCGCTCACTCCAATCCATGCATGGTCCTACCACAGTCTCTGGCCTTGTGGGGACAAGGCAAGGCAGCCCCTGCTGCCCCTCGGGGCTGGGTTCCTTAAGCCTCAGGGGCAAAGGCACCTTCCTCCGAGCCAGCAAACGGCTGGTAACTTGTGGCTGCCCACACCCAACCCTTTCTGTGCCACGGAAGATCCCTTTCAAAACCCATTACGCTGTTCCAGCTGGGCTCTTCCAGTACTGACAGAGGGCCCCATCCCGTGAGCTAGAAGCGCTTCTTGCGCGGAGCCTTCGGCCCAAGCGACTTGGCTGCTAAACCCACAGCGTTAGCAGGGTGCTGAATTTTTTAAAATGAGAGGGAAGATGACAAGGTTATCTTAGCCCAGCAGCCACACACAGCAATGCCACCGTTTCCAAATTAATAAAAAGCCAACAGCATTACAGATAAATGTATTTTAATTAGGATTAAATACTATCTCAAGGTATCTTGAAATCGCACTTGTACTGTACTAATCAACAGCCAGAGGCAATAAAAAAAGGTCTGAAAACGTAAAAGTTCTAACATCCAACACATGACAGTAAGTGCTGCCATTTAAAGCAACAAACACCGCTCCCAAGAACAGATATCCTTAGCGGAAAAGTTGTAACAATTTTGTATGGACAAAAAAAAAAATAAGAATTCAAATTGAGGACCAGAAGAAATATAATAGTGCCTGCCTTTTCAAAAGTGTGGGTTTGGTTTTGTTTGGGTGTGGGTTTTTTTTTTTTTTTACATTAAATACAGTTTTCTTTAAAAGCAAGGTACTTTCTAAATTCATGGTTTATATACTGTATGTACACGAGAGCAGAACACTGCGCGGCGTTTTTGGATAAAGCAGCACTAACTAGCTGTAGGCTGGTACGGTGTTGCTGAACCAAACGCAGGGTGACAGGTTAAGCGCTCTAGGAGAAGCATCTCCACGGTTGGTGTAAGAAAAGTGAAGTATCATGTATGTACAAACTGATTATTCAAACAAACCCCGCAGACTCGGCATCCCTTGCCGGGGAACCGCACAGGCTGCAGCCAACCAAGGGAAGTCTTACTGCAGGAACCGGTCTGACAGACTCGGCGTGACCGTTTGCTTTCAGTCCTACTCGCGCAGGGGAGCACTCGACACGAGCCACCGCTGCAACGCGTCGCCCCGGGGCTCCAAGGAGAGTGGACCCTCTCGGCAGCCTGGAGTCAAGCAGCCACCTGCATTTTTCCACTGCACAAAATATGAAATGCCCCAATCCAGCCATAGGAAACTGAGATTAAAGCTACCTTATTTGAGTATCTGTATGTGGGCTCCGGCTTCCTGCGGACAGTTAGAGATTAAAGCAGAAAGTCTGCGCCCAAGTCTCACCAGTTCGGACTGAAACGGACTGGCAGCGATGTCCACAATTAGTGCAACACTCACTCCCATTCTTTATCAAAGTGACTTACTGTTCTTCAGAGGCACAACGCGCTTAAGTCAGGTTTTACAAAAACAGACAAACCAGAACGTTGTGCAGAAAACTAGTTTCAGGTTTGTACATATATATATATATTTTTTAAAGTCTACCCCATTAAAAACCCACCGAACTTAGAAATAGTTTGTGCCCTGGTTCAAAGTCAATTGCCTCAAAAAACAGACTCTTTTAATTCTAGGATTAGCAGTGGGGCAGAGATTAAGGTTGTTCTTGTTACATACACTTACTTGTCATTCAGTTCACATCGTCCAAAGAGGTTATTTGCTGTACTTTCAGGACGCTGTTCATCCTTGTCCTAGCCACTACACTGGTTTAAGGAGCTGAATGTTTCTTCTTCGATGAGGACAGAAGCGAGACAACTTGTTTCTAAACTGCATCAACTTAAAAGTTTCAAGTTTTAATGGTGTAAAAATCTGACATTCAATTACAGTTAAGAGAAACTTGCTACACAGCAAACTGCATCCAAATCTACCAGTTATTGACGGGACCTTGAAATTAACCGTGAACAAGTTATTCGGAGCATCCAGACCTGGAAACACCAGATCACCCAGCCAGTGAGCCAGCAACTCCCTCCCCCTTTTTCATGAGGCTTTAACAAATGCAGCAGATGTGACCTTAGCACTGGGGCCAGTGACTTCCACGGGCCAACTCCAATACCCAGAAGGGCTAGGGGGATCCTGTGTTAAGCCCAATGCAATATGCATTAGTGTCATGGAGCAGGAAGATCCCAGTGTCTACTTGTTAGAGTTCACACAAACCATACAGATACAGACAGGATAAAACACAGACTCAAAAGGATCCATTATGCTTGAAGAAAATTCCAAATAAAATGACATCTTCTGCACAGCCCCGCCTCAGACAGAGCCACAACTTTATCTAGTATAATAAACTCTGTAGTAAACTGTTTTTGACCTCCATAGAGAGTAGGAGTTGTCAAATTTAAGGAGATAAACTCCCCTCCCCGGGTACTGGTGGCTGCCAGCATACACTTCTTCGTGACAGTCTCGTCTGTACACAGGCACTATTTCATCTAGCTGAGGCTTGTTGGCATTCTTTTTGGCTTTTTCTTCACTGCTAGCATTTTCTGCAAGGAAAGAAGACAAGTGTCAGTTAACATGGGTGCGTTACAAGAGAAAGTCAGGCTGATCTGTGGCGGACAAGGCGCTCTTTGTTAGCTCAGAAATCAGACGGGTCAGAGGGGTTCACACCCAGGCTGTGCCCACAGCATTCAAAAGCAGAAGGAACAGTAAGCATGCTCACTGCATGACAAATTTTACAGTTTGACACTAGAGCTCGGCAGGCCCACCTCCCCAGCACAGCCACGTCAGGTCATGGAGACACTGAGCTTCAGTTTTGGAGATGACGTTACCCCACACCAACGGACTGCTGCTGATCTGACACAACTGCTGAGCAGTAACACCCAGAAGGCCGCTGCTTCCTACGTCAGGGCAGTTCCTTCTAAGCAAATCCCATGCTCGTTTCAAAACACCTTTTCCTGAGGGTATGCTAGGCTCCCACGGGTAAAGGCTGTGTCCTGGCCACTATCAGGAATTGCTCTTTTAAGCCGTTTCGCTGAAACCTCAAGGAAACTTCTCCCCTACAAAATGTTCATGGACAGCAGGGCTGGATTTTTCTTAAGGTTCTGAGTGTGCAGGTCCGCTACGCTCTACTGCAGCACGAGTGCCAACCCAGCTTACTGAACAGCTGAACTGGACAAGAGGGTACACTAAGGAGTAAAACTTGGGAAAAAGATTTCCCCACTCTCAACTGCTTTAACCTATCTGTGACCCAGTGAGGGGACTGGTTGGTTTCAGAACTGCATAACCTATTCAAAATCAAAGGCAAGATTCCAGTCAGATAGAAGCTGGGGGAACTAGGAGCTTACACAGGACAAACCAGTTGGGTTTCCCACCCCCGCAAGCTCTGCAGGACTGGCAGTTTATATAAACGAGCATGCTTACCTTCTTCTTCATCCTCATCATCACTGGATTCGCTGACATGCACACTGACTGCAGTATTAGGGGAGTCTGTCCATTCAAAATACACCCCAAAACCAATGTCATAATTGTCTGTAGCAAACTCCCAAAAGAGGTAAGACCCCTCTTCATGGGTCGGTACTCTAACGGTAACCACTTCTCCTCGGCCCACTGTGATCACAGAGTCTGCATCCTGCCGGATTTTTTCCTTGAAGTCTCTTATCTGGGGTCGTGTCCACATCGATGGGGCAGCTATCACTGGGACAGAATCTGGAGAGGGGAGGAAATACTCCAGTTAAGCTTTTATTTCAGTTGTTTATGCTGCATACTTCGGCGTACCTTAGGGGTAATTGAGGACCACGAGCACCATTTTTTTAATGGAAGAAGCATCTTTTCACCGCTGAAAGTTGCCTGAAATGCAGTGCCAGTTTAGCTACAACCCTGCACACTTCAATCCTACCAGTTCACCCCTCCGCCACATTTAAACCAACAGCGTTTACGCAGACAGGACTCAGGAGACAGATGTACTGCTACAGGTGACGGAGGTTACACCACACAGAACCCTTCCCCAGAAGGGGCTTTCATATGACAGAACCAGAGGTTGTGGCTCTGTCCAGAAATTGTCCAGTACTGACTCCAACAACTGAACACCTCATTATGCAGCCATGGACCGTGCTTGTGTTGGTTTCATACTGGGATCCCAGCACGTCTTTTGAGGACTACTGGTCGTCAATGAGAGTATAGAGGTAACACCCAGAAATACCAGTGAGGCGTGGGCTGCTGGGAGGCTACTTCTCCTGCTCCACTTCCACAGCTTCCTAGGAGCTGTCTGAGGCAGGTGGGAAATGTGAGGGGACAGCAGCCCAGACTGCACACAGGGCAGGGCTAAGCCAAGGTAGTGCAGCGTTCAGGGAGAATAAGGAGGATTTGGGTTTATTTTAATCTCCAAGGCTAAATCACTCAATTTGGGCCCAAGTTCAATCTTATTTGAACATATTTCTGCACAGAACAGCTTTCTGCTAGAACTTCTGTGCTCCTTTCCTTCACATCAAGAGTGAAAGGAGGTTCTGGATCCCATCCACTTTACCCAAAATGCTTCTGCTGCTTCCTCTTTCCCGCCCCACAAAGCTGAGTTTCACCTGGGCAATATTGTTCTCCCTTAAGGGAAACTGGACCCAGGAATCAAACCTAGCCCTTGCATAGCTCAAAGAAGTCCAGAAGAGCCACAGTAACCACAGTTAAGACATCTGAAAACCAAGAAAGGCTTTACGCTATTTATTTTTAGTCAAGGAATCTAGCCAGTCCTACCTTTTGGTCCATTCTCCAGTGCTTCTTCCAAAGCCTCAGGATCCAGCTCTTTCTCAGGGCTGTCTGCATGTGCACTGGCCTGCCCATTAATAGATGGGGTGTCCCCTGGGGCAGGCGCGTTCACCTTCGATGCAGTGGTCAGAGGCGTCCCCGTCGCTGCCACAACTGCCTCCTGCTGTTTTTGTAAGGCTGCCTAAAATGATAGAAATTAAGCCAAGTAAACCCCAAACCTCCCAATACTATATATAAAGACAGTTTAAAATAATTTCCCTCTCCACCCCACACAACCAGAGGCTTGACACAGGAGACCAGAAGCAGCACACACGAACCAGTGAGAATTGCACTACATAAGGGAAGTGAAGGCACTCTGTTGCAGGCTGGTGGGCACAACCCAAACAAAAGGATTTGACTTCCAAGTCAGTCAGGACACACACAATAAACTCCCGCACTTCACTGCCAAAGTTCTGCATTTCAGTAACTCCTGTAACATTTCTTTCAAAATCCAAAGTGACGGCGTGCTTGCTGGTTTTCACCAGCGGGCTGAAAGGGCTCTGGCCTGAGCTCATCCAGGTCTAAAAAGAGCTGGAAGTATTTAAGGGCTATTAATTACTTGCCAATTTGTGAGTTAACTTGCCCAACGTTTTTTTCGACGCTCGACAAAGGCAGTTCTTTAATATGAAAGCAGGAAGCGCAGGAGCTGCAAGGACTGTGAGTGGTCCAGAAGGAGAGCTATTAAAGCTCAGAGGTGCTGCTTTTAGAACATGACTTATGTACTTTGAAACTCTCTAGATAAAATCTATCATGCTGTCCCTGTGCAAAGGATTAAATACACCTGAAATGAGATTATACAAGGTAACAACCATCCTTTTGGATATAAGCAGGATGCATTACCCCTTTAGCTTCAAGGCTTATTCCCCTGTCCCTGGTTAGCAGTACAGAGACATTACACATGCTTTTTTACTGGGACAGGGAAAAGGTTTAACTGACAGTACCACTCTTTAAAGAATAACCTAGTAAGCACAGGATTTTGATGAATGGATGAAATAAAGGTATCCTGAAGGAGTATGAAGACAATGTAGTCAAGCATCAGTGATATTTCAAGTTTGAGCCACTGTACAGATGCTGCCCGGATCCAATTTCGACTACAGCAGTTCTTAGCACCGAGACCATGTAAAGTGGTGAGAACTTTTCTAGACAACTATTGCATACAGCCTTTCCAAAATTAATTGGATCACAAGCTGATCTGTAAGCAACCGTGACAGAACAGGGCTTTTTAACTGCACTAACTGATCCCACGGCAGCTGAGTTACAGGCATCCAGAAGGAAAGCATTCCTCAGGAGCGTTACGGAGGCTACGCGAGTCTTCAGGAAAGTCCAAAGTAGATTTAGACAATTTTAGCTCTGTTACATTCTGCTTTTTCATCCTTTCCCCTACAAGGGTTGTCCAAACAGAGATCTGAAAGACAGGCTTTGTGGCCTGGCAGGCTTATTATTTTGTAACATGCTACAAAGGAAAGGCTGTTGAGCCCCAGGTCTCAAAGGGCATTAGCCTCCTGTACACAGAAAGCAGACAGCAGTGATTGAAAGGGGCCGTGCTGATAGCATGGAACAACACCGGCAGCAGCGTCTCCCACACCTCAGTCTCAAGGGAGTAGTATCCTTCCTGAAGGTGGAAAGGACAAGACTGATGAAGCTGTAGCTTTTGCTTACCCCCGAGACACCAGAGCATCAGTACCAAGGTGTCATTAACCTTCAAGAGTAACTATAACAGGGCAGGAAGCCTCTGACTTTCCTATACCTCTTCAACTCCATGGAATTATGGTTTGGCTTGGAAAGGACCTTTAAGTATCATCTAGTCCAACACGCCTGCAAAGGCAAGGACATCTTTCACTAAATCAGGCCACTCAAAGCTCCATCCAACCTGACCTTGAACACTTCCAATGATGGGGCATCCACTGCTTCTCCAGGAACCTGATCCAGTGCCTCACTACCTTCACTGTAAAAATGTTCTTCCTTATGTCCAATTCAAACCCACACTCTCTCAGATTAAAACCACTGCCCCTTATCCTGTCACTACAGACCCTGGTAAAAAGGTCTTCTGCTGTCTTTCTTATAAGCCCCTCTCACATAAACTAAAAGGCTGCTATAAGGTGTCCCCGGAGCCTTCTCTTCTCCAGGCTGAACAAGCCCAGCTCTCTCAGCCTGTCCCCATAGCAGAGGGGCTCCAGCCCTCTGAGCATCTTCGTGGCCTCCTCTGGACTCACTCCAACCGGTCTATGTCCTTCTGATGTTGAGGGCTCCACAGCTGGATGCAGCACCCCAGGTGGGGTCTCACCAGAGCAGAGTAGAGGGGGAGAATCCCCTCCCTCGACCTGCTGGCCACCCTTCTCTGGATACAGCCCAGGATACGGTTGGCTTTCTCAAAATGGTTGCCACCTTCTCAAAATGCAAATGACTTAAAATTCAGTAACTAGTTTCCTGCTAAGTCTTTAGTTCAAGAGCAATAGGCCTCAGGCTGGCAGTTACAGGCCATTTAAGATTCAGGTCCTGCCCAGAGAGGTCCAATGTGGCTTACATCTGTTTAAGACAGTGACAGATGGACATCCTTGAACTTTAACGTAGCTTGAGATGTGGATATGGCCCATTTGAGAGATGCAAGATTCCCCTAAGCAAAGTAGCTGCCTTCCAAGCCCAGGCGCAAAACCCTTGCAGAGAAGGAACGTACTAGTGCCACCCACTGCGCCCAGGAGTATGAAAGCCTGTCCTCCCACACAAATCACGAGCAGCCTATTGCAGGCAGGTGACTTAATTAGATACTGATGTCAGACAATAGATGCAAAAGGAGAGAGAAGTCAGCAGTGCTCAAGGTGGCAGGGGGGGGCAATCTCAAGCCCAGCAGCGACATGAGAGTGCTGCATGCACACGGAGCTGGAAACACGTGGCTGACCAAAGCCTGCTGCTGGGCACAAGTCCTCAGGTGCAATACCTACACACAGAGCCACTTGAATAGGTCTGTCCACGCTCAGATGCACCAGCCTGTACCCCGATTAAATTACACACACAATAGATGCTCCAGCAGAATGCTTCACATTTGGTCTCCAAGCATAGTATTGAACCAAGTAATTAATTAGTAAAGGCTGCTTAGCGTTTTCTCAATGGCTGCTTCAGAAAACTACTTGTAAAAATTAAATAGAGGAGCGCTGGTGTTTGAATCTGAAGCAGCATTAGTCACTGGGACACTATCTCTCCTTGTAGCAATTAGCTTTGCAAGGGAATAAGGGTAGAGACAGCCTGGGACACCAAATCTAAGTTCCCCAGCTGGTCAGTCATACCTGTTGCTGTGCAAGCTGGACTTGGTACAACTGCTGCATGTATTGTTGATAATGCTGTTCCTGGAGCTGCCGAATTAGGATCTGCTGCTGTTCGTAGTTGCCCGGATACTGCTGGGCTGCATACTGCTGGAACTGGATGGCAGTCTGGGAGTTCAGTGCTGCCATTATCTGTTGCCTGGATTGGTGGGAGGAGAGTAGGAAGATTACAAGCGGCTGAGGGTATTGGGGAAATCCCTGTACTTAAGTGATTTAAGTGGTCTCAAAACCAGTTAATTCAACTCCTGCAAAAAACCAAAACAAATCTACATAAGAGAGCAGAGCCTGGAGGTAATATAAGTATGAATTTTGACTAAAAATTTACTGAGAATATAAAGAAGGGAGCAACAATTTCTACCCGATGTCTGAAAACATCAAGTATTAATAAAAGCAAGAGCTCTTACACAATTCTCAATCGACAGTCTGATAAAGAGGTAATGCTAGAAAAACACATGACTATTTCTCAAACAAGCAAGGGAAAAACACCCCCACATTCTGTTCTTCCAGAAACCATGCAGAAACCACCCTGCAACAGTATGCAGACATATGAAAAGCATGACCGACTGTGGCCTAATTCAGGAATGAAAAAAATGCTGCCAAAATAGGGCATCTGTGCCTTCAATAAACTCAACTGCTGAAACTTCAGGGGGAACACATGGGTTACTTATGCAGGGGCTCAGTTTTCTTCCTCTCCCCAAAGGGCTAACAGAAACTACAGTAAAGTTACCAGCTACATCCAAGGTTTGTCTCACTTATGTCCATCAATGCTTCAGAGGAAGAGAGAAGTATCACGCAAGTGCAAGAGTAATTCTTTCCTTTCCATCCTTCTTCCTTCCCCAAAAAACATGCTCTAAGCTCCAGTATTAGACTGATGTAGTATCTTAAAAGGGCAATATTTACTAGTCTTCAGCAAACTACGAGCAGTTTGGAAACTCTTGGAATGTGGGTAGATATATACAGGCCTTTTCAGTCTAAACTCCCTCTATAACCTGTTACAATCACTGAGTAAGTAACTGCTATTAATGTAAAAAACCCCAATCTCTTAACTTCAAGGCATACCACATCTTGATACTTAGCACTGCCCAACGTTTTTTAGCGTATTCTCTGTTCATTCCTGTCTATTTTACATTCCTCTGGCTCTCACCATGTTAAACAAACAGTAAAACTCGTGGATTAATTATCTGCTCCCTCCTCAAAACCACTACATAAGCAAGCGCAGGATCTGCTTCAGAGACACCCCCTCCACAGACATTTTATTATGGAAAATGTTTGCTGACTGATGTGGAACAGCTTTGATGATTTCCTATTCTTTTAATTACGTATGCAAAGCTAGATCCATGTTTTCAGCATCTGGATGTGACGGGAACAATGAAATACAACTAGAGCTGTTTATTCCGAGAAAACAATTTAATTCAGGCTACAAAGAGAGGTTAAGTGCACTTGAACGTGAATTTTGTACTGCATTTAGAAAGGTTCTAAGATCCAGGGATTGCCAGTGTACAAGTGAGACGTGCAGACACTTTACACCTCCTAGAAAGGGAGCACCTTTAAGGAGCCTGTGTTAGACAACCAAGTCGGAACATTTCAGCCACGCATTCAAAAACCCACATGAACTGCAGCCATCCTTTTTCAAAGTTCCACCTTCTGTCAAGTGACAGAAACTTTGAAGTCACCATTCAAACAACACTTCCAGATGGACACTTGACTCTGCTCAGCCGAGTGCAGCATTAATCATTTAATAAGCACAGCCACGGGTTTTCATGACGTGTAGTCCTTGAACCCAAAAACCCCAAGAGCTTCTCTTCAAACAAAGCTTCTGTGGCACTTTCATCTGAGAAGACTGCATGCAGGAACACGTCAGGATAATAACTTTCTGCAAACTGTGTCCCTCACAGATAGGGACTCAAATGTCACTGCCAGACTCAGTGCTCTGAACTCTAGGTAGTCCATTTTAGCATAACTACTGAAACAGATCGATGCCATTGTCTCCAGAGCAAGGCAGTTCATTTTTTGAACTCCTGTTTGTTTCAGGTACTCACTTCTGTTGTTCCATCCGAAGTCGTTCCTCCTCTACTCTCCTCCTCTCCTCCTCTTCTCTTCTCAGTCTTTCCTCCTCTTCTCGCCTACGTTTTTCTTCTTCTTTTTGTAAACGCTCACGCTCCTCTTCCTCACGCCGCCTTCGCTCCTCCTCTTCTCTCCTGCAATATCCACTCAATAAGCTATTCCAGCGTACCTACAATCCTAGGATGAGTTATTTCAACGTGTTATAACCTGCCTTTTGCCTGCCCAGTGAGGCTTTCTGTTTAGTATCATATCCTCCCACTTCAGTTTAACTGGAAAAGTGTCTTACTGGACCCAAGACAAAATATTATTGTTAAGTTCTACTGCACTGTGCAGTATGACAAGTTTAAGTTCTGTACTACAATTCAGTATTCATTCTAAACTATTACTATACTGTCCTCAGCAGGGAACAATAGAAAATATTGTCTGGAAACCTTAAACACACCTTCCAAGCTTTATGTTCAATAATCACATGGATTCTGTGGTTTAATGATCCCATGACATGTAAAGGCTTTCTACTGCTATCGTTTGTTGGCCAAGCTGCTAACTCACATGAGGAGGAGTTTGAAGCACCCGACACTTTCATGCTCTGTATACGTTTAGTCCACAGGCACATCAGGACAGACCTTTTGTGAAGCGTGTATTTCTTAAACATGCGACAGCATCAGCAAAATCTTAAAACTCCTTATCCTCTAGGTGCCTTCAGTTCAGAAACGATTGTTCATTACTGGCAAAGTAAAAGGCTTAAATCATAGAATCATAGAATCATAGTTTTTCAGGTTGGAAAAGACCTTTAAGATCGTCAAGTCCAACCATTAACCCAGCACTGCCAAGCCCACCACTAAACCATGTCCCTGAGCACCTCGTCCACACATGCCTTAAATCCCTCCAGGGATGGTGACTCCCCCACCTCCCCGGGCAGCCCCTTCCAATGCCTGACAGCCCTTTCCATGAAGAAATGCTTCATAATATCCAGTCTAAACCTCCTCTGCTGCAACTTGAAGCCATTTCCTCTTAACGCCATTTCCTCTGGTACTGTCACTTGGGAGAAGAGACACACCCCCACCTCTCTGCACCCTCCTTTCACTGGCTGGGTTTCATCATTCCTTTTGAGGATAGCCCATGAGAAGGTGTGACGAGGGATCAAATGGTACCAAACCCACATAAACTTGAAGCATTTCTCTTGCCAAGACGACTTCAACCTAAGCCAGCTGTGACACTGTCCATAGGTCAAGAACTATAGACTCAACGTGCTCCAACACCAAAGGACTCAAACATTACCTTTTCTTTTCTTGTTCTTCTTTCTCTATCTTGTGGGAGGTGACATATGTTGAAAACAAGTGGCAGCACCTATTCAGGAGCTTAACAAATTCTGTCATAGCTTTTTGTTTTGACATGTTTCCAAGGGCAGCCCATTCCTTCCTGAGAGAGAGAAATCAGCTGAAACAACAGAAGACTCAATTCTTTTCAAGTCAGTAGTAAATACCGAGCACCCAGCAAAGAAAAAAACCACAGGTTGGGAGAGCAGGGCCCAAACTTTATCATGTGCAGTTTCAGAGCACCAACAGCTTTCTCCCATTCAGAGACAGACCTGTAGGTTTCAGTGCTCTCTGCTGCCTGCACCAGAACAGCCCTTTCAAAAAGACAGAACCGAGCGCTTATATGGAATCTCACATGTCCCATCGACCCTACTTCAAATTCTGAACTACATTAATGCACAGCTAAGCAAGTCTTAAACTGCCATAAGAAGCTGGCCAGTCGACACAGCAGCTTCTCCTAATACGGCTAAAAAACCCAATAATCTTCTGTTAGCTCCTTTACTGAACTGTGACTCAGATTTCTAAGGTGTATTTGAAGAGTCCATGCTCACTATCCACTACCAGACACACACATTGACACAACCCACATACTTGTCTTCTTAGTGCAGAAATGGGATGATGTTTTCTTCAGACAGGAAAGCAGAGTTAAGATCAACAAGAGCACCAGCCCTTTTACCTTCTATCATTCCCCAGCACATCAAAGAATCCAACTTCAGGGCAAGTGTCAGGGTTGTAAGGTCCCAGCAGAACCTGCTTGTGCAGCGCCACAAGTTTGAGCTTTTCTTCATATGTGGGATGAAAGGCTTTGCCATCTTTTTCTGTGGAAGAAAAGAAAATTTTGCTGTTGTGATTAATCGATTAAGCACAGGAGAGCAAAGAGCATTTCGTATAACCGCTGTCACGATTGCTTCGTAACAAGAAAAGGAGTAAGAAAGATAAGTCACAGAAGGTTAGACAAATTACCTCAGTTTTATTCAAATAAAATATAGATCTGTCCAGAAGAAACACATTCACTTCAGCTGCTGAAACTTAATTATGAAGTGTTTTTCATCATACCATCCAGAGTGAATCTTAAGCTGGTTATCACATAAATATTTACGTTAATTATTTGAACAACATACCATATGGATCTCTATCTCTGAAATATTTCAAAACCTTCACTTGAATTCAAATGTGTCTGCCAAGTCTATTGTAGTGTGGATGGGGAGGATTTTCCACAGAGAAAAATGCAATGTTAGCTCCACAGACTGCCCTCCTTTTACACTCTTCGCATGGAGGAAGACAGAACAGGCAAGAAAAACCACAGAGAGGGAAAGTTAGAACTAAGGGAGAGTTTTCCTTGAGGCAATCTGAATGCTGCACTTCGCCGAGGCAGCTGGAATAGCCCCTCGCAGTGAAAAGTCTCAGAGGTGGCTCCACCAGCACCAACATGTATAAGGAGTTCTGGCCATAAAACCACAGGCAACGTAAGCCTGAACATTAGAATTCCAACGGCTCCACACCAACACCTTACGAAGTGGTCCCGGCGAGATCCCGACACACGTTTACTGGGAAGAAGAGACTTGCACTGATTTAAAACACTACGCAAGTTGGTCAGCTAGGACTTACCTCAGCACACTTAAACTGCCAAAACACACCAAAGAAAGAGGCACTGCTATATGTAATCACATTGTTCACTAAGAAAAGACCCTTTTCTTGAACAGGAAAACAAATAAATAAGCACCATCTCCTTTTGGAAAGGCTGAAATGAGGAAGCCGTTATCAGATGTAAACAATAGGTATTGCACTTCTTCCAGGTCAGAGCTCATAGTCTCTAGCTCTCCTTTTACCCCAAAGGCCACTTTGCAGCAACTTGTTCACATCCCCAAACTGAACAGTCCAATTCACGCCCAAATTTTAGGACAGAGGTTTACATATCGCAAAACTGCTCAGCTGATCCTTTTAAACAGAGCTGTTAACAGGGAAAGAAGCAAGTCTCCAAACAAAAGAGGAGGGGAAATACCTCTCAACTGTGGCTTCCTGGGAAACTCTGAGCAAATACTTCTGAAAGTTGGAAACAACCCCAGAAGGAGTGTGTTTGTCGAGCACAGTGAGAAAACCCGTTTTTGACAGAGTAAGTTCAGCCCGTTACTGGGCTGGTCAGGTAAAACCTCGCAAGGAGCCACTGCATGTATGACCTTCGTTTTGAAGCAAGAATCGAAGAATTAGGAAGGTAAACTGAATTACTTATCCATTCCTGCACGTCCACTTCACTCTGAGAATCCCAAGCATTTGTTCTCCTCCCGGTGTCACACAACCTCTCAGCAAACAGTGTCCAGCTTCAAAAAACAGAAGCCTTTCTCCACAGAAAGATCTATTTCTAAAAATACTGCGTGGGGTGGAGAAAGCGGGGCATGTAAAGACCGAACCAGTCTTCTCAGTGGTATCCAGAGAGAGGACAAGAGGCAGATGACAAATTGAAAACTAAGAAATTCCACTTAAGCATAAGAGGGTTTTTTTTTTTTTACCTCTGAGAGAGTGATCAAGCACTGGAACAGGCTGCCTAGAGGGGTTCTGAAGTCTCCATCCCTGGAGATATTCCAAACTCAAACAGTCCCAAGAAACCTCCTCTGAACAGGAGGGCTAAACCTGACACCCAACAAGCCTGTGATGCTGAAGAGATGGATATCACCACGTCCTGGTGAGCTCCTGCTCTCAGGCCACCCCAGGAGCCCTTTGGCTTTTCCTCAATTCTTCACACATCACATTTAACTCAGAAATTGCTTATTAGGTAGCAAGCACTCCCATCAGCTCCAAGGAACAGCACTCACTTGGATATCATAGCTAATACACTGGGGTAGCATGCTTAAAAGCAAGTCAAGTGATAAGGGTACCACACTGAAATCCTGCCAGGCTTCTGAGCGAGGTACGCTTCTCTGCGTGGTCCCCACGGCACAGTTTGCCTTGCCCGAGCTGCACTACCTACAGCTGTCTGCCAAAAAACATAGCTGTTTGCTGTACCAGACTGCTTCCTCAGCCAGCCCGCAGCATCGGTATTGGAACTCAGTTCGGAAGAGGGTTAAAGGGAAAACCAATGTTGTTTCCCGTGCCACACACCGCCCGTCTGCTTCTTTGCGGAACACTCAGACCTCAAGCCCTAACTACCAAGAGAAGCCAAAATCTGCATTTGCTAGGAATGGCGACCCAAGGGAAGAAGAGAAAGCAAGCTAAATGAGAGGGGAAAACAGACAGATGAGAAAAATATGACAGGCATTCAGTGACTTGCAGATAACGCAGCTTAGAAGCAAACTCTCAGCAAAATATTCAGAGCCAGTCAAGAGAATGAAGCTGTACATGAGCCACTTCTCGGCTGAATTCTTCAGCATGAACCACGCTGTATAATTATCCCACAGGTTTGGAATTGTTGCTGTTAAACCGAACCAGAGGACCTGAAGCCATCTGCAGAGTCAAACATGCCAAAAAAGAGCATTAGTGAGTCCAGACAAGTAGAAGTGCCAAATTTATTCAAGCATCCGTGAGCGTATCGTTTAAGTAGGTATTACCCACACAACTAATGCAGCTGTCAGGAAGCTGAAGAACATCAAAGAGCTCTAGGGATGACACTGAGAGATCCAAAGGATGGGCACAGCAGCTGTACAGCAACTCCACAACCCTTCCTATGCCACTGCTACGCCGGAGCCAACAGGGCCAGAGAAAGGCTCAGTTTTCTTCCAGAAGATTAGGAGACTTCTTTCCGGACGATGCTTCATCATTCACCTGAAACGGCTATTTCTCAAGTCAACTACACCCTGCGCTTAAGCAGCGGCCGCTAACATCAAACTTAAGGAGTGATTAAGGGTATGGTTACATGAGGTTTTCAGCCTGGAGAAAAGGTGGGTGCGGGGAGACCTTACAGCACCTTCCAGTACCTGAAGAGGCTACAAGGAAGCTGGGGGTGACTTTTTACAAGGGCCTGTAGTGACAGGACAAGGGGTAACGGGTTTAAACTGAAGGCGGGGAGGTTTAGATTAGATATCAGGAAGAAGTTCTTCACAGAGAGGGTGGTGAGGCACTGGAACAGGTTGCCCAGAGAAGCTGTGGATGCCCCATCCCTGGAAGTGCTCAAGGCCAGGCTGGATGAGGCTTGGAGCAACCTGGTCTAGTGGAAGGTGTCCCTGCCCATGGCAGGGGGGGTGGAACTAGATGGTCTGTAAGGGCCCTTCCAACCCAAACCCTTCTCTGATTCCACAAACAAGGCAGGCTACAGACCCAGAATGCTTTAGTCATTCTGCATTAAGGACTCATATACACATGTGTAATTCACCCAGAACACAGCTAACGGCTGGCTCCCACTTACTGCAAGCTCAGGCCTCACTGACATGTGCCATGAAACCACCACACTGTTACTGTGCCGTCACCCCTCAGTGGGAAATCCCTGCACACCCAGTATCAGCTCCTCACACCACCCCTCTCCTTGGCAGTGGTCCACAAAACTGAGATCCATTGAGGGCAGCTCAGTTGCGTACTCCAGAAAATGAGCACTAAAACACTAATGACCTTTCTTGTGCTACAGGTAGTTAATTACTGTATGCCTGAAGACCCCCGTTGGTGTCAGCATGCAAACACAACAGAAAGATAAAGCTGTAACTAGTGATGAAAAGCAGAGGCTTATGTCACAACGTGGCAATGTACCATTGACATGGATTGGTACAAAACTGCAAATTTAGACTCAAGGGACTTTAAGAAATATGCTTAAGAGACTGCATCATGCAGGATACCATTACTCCTATGTAAGTTCAGATTTTTTCCCCTGTAAGAAACATGGCACACGCTGCAGCTTCCACTCCAACCTCACCTACTGCACTAAGTGCCTAATTCCCATGGGACAGCACTGAGTCACCTAGAAGCAGCTAGAAAACAGTTCATGAATTGTGATTTTTCACCTCGTAGCTTTTAAAAGCAGAATGCACATATGTTAATGCTATTAGTTCGCAAAGCTTTAATGAGTGAGACCAAAACTGAGAAGTACAAGAACCGATAGGCTACCTGCAGATCCCAGTACACACTCTTACACTCCTCATTCTCCTCTCCTTAAGATGTTCTGCCTCAACGGAAGAGTCACCAACTGGCCCTTCCAATTAAATGTGATCAAAGCTCAACTTCACATCAAACCTAGATACGTTATAGGGCTTTTCATATTCTTGAAAGCAAGAGCCTACTTAACTAATGAATTACAATCATGCCATCAAATTAACCCTCAAAAAAAAAAGAGGTCAAATAATTAATTTAGAGTTATGTATTGCTGAGATTGAAGACGCATTCTTGTTAGGATAAGAGGGAATAACTCAGAGCAGTCAAACAAAATTGAAGTGCTTAACATACCAGGAGAGCTTTTAGATACCAAAATGACAGGGTTTGTGTCCTGTCTGCTCAGCTGTGCTGCACTGTGAATCACTTTAGATAGCACATGAACTCTTGCGGGGACTGTCTATACAGAAGGTTGGCTGCAACGGTATTTCAATGACAGGATGTGGAGAAGCATAAAGCCATGTTGATACTGGGAGAGATTTGCTGGCAGAGCTATGCAAGCCAGCCCCTCCTACCGCTTACACCTTAAAACGAGTCACCCGCACTGGCATCGCTTGTACCAGCTCAACAAGCAGAATCAGCCATCAGAGACACTTCTACTCTGCCAGCTGCCCCTGGGTGCACAGTTACAGACAGCCTGAAAGACAAAGAAACATACCCATTTCACTAACATGACTGTTCTCTACTGTACACTGGATCCGGCACAGCGGAGCAGCTTCTTAACAGCAGGCAAAATGCTGGTCGACCTGAA